GCTTCATAGGAAAACCATAAACTAGGATAGAGGCCACATGAAAAGAAGGATGAAGACATTGGATCATTATAACGAAGTTTTACTGTTTATAAATATATAAATTATATATATATATGAATATATATTTGATAAATAATGTATGATAAATAAATATAAGTGTGTTAAATACAATACATGTGTGTATAATATATATACAGGGAGTCCCGTAAGTAGAGAGAAATATTTAAAAGCTTTATAGTAGACATCAAGAGCTACAGAAATGTTCATATAAACAACTGCCCAATTTCAAGCAGAAAAGTAGGAAATTTATGATTTGTGTTTTTTTAAGTATCACGTTTTTTGTTGAATGGGAAGCGATAATATAAAAAATATTTGATTATTAAAGTAATTACAAATAGCTCCATAGGAAACTAGACAAAATTTATTTTAAACGACAGTAGATTTTGTCATTGTTAAAAAAAAAAAACATAAATTACTTGTGATTTATTTTTATCACAACTTTAACTGTACAGCAGTTACCCCACTTTTAGAAAAACTTCCTCGTTTAATAAGCTTTAAGTCCATATTAATTAATTTGAAGTTTATTTGAAAAAATTTTGAGATGAATCTCAAGTTGTATAAAGAAATGATGTCGTTTTCTATCCAGTCACCTAAAAGTACCCGCAATTATTATTTCAGCAAATAGTAAATATTTCAGCAAAAATAACCACAATTAATTATTGCAAAGTTTTTATTTCTTCTTTTTTTTCAGTGATATGGGATGTGTTCTAATGAACATAATTGCCTAAAAAAACATTTTATTTATAAAAAAAAAGTTTTTTTTCAAATATTTTTCATGCAACGTGGTTACAGAAACTGCGTTTTTCTCCCAGATCTTGGTCCTAGGAATTAATCTGTATTTATCAGTGACAAACTTAATGTTTCACTAAAATGTACGTTTAAAATAAATACACCTGCTGATTGCTTCAATCATTTTCAAGAAAACATAAATATTATGACTAGAAACATTAAGTTTGTCACTTATAAATAAGCATCGATTCTTATAACAGAAATTTGGGATAAAAACACAATTCCATAACCATCTTATAATGAAAATATTTGAACATTATTAATTTGAATTTTTTATTTTTATAAATAAAATGTGTTTTTGGGCAATAATGTTTATTATAACACATCCCATATCATGGGAAAACAAGAAATAAAAGCTTTGCAACAATGCTTTGGAATTATTTTTGCTCAAAACATGGGTACTTGGGTAGGTGACTGGAAGAAAATCACATAATTTCTTTACACAACTTGAGGTGAATCTCAAATTTTTTTCAAATAAACCTCAAATTAATTAATATGGATTTAAAGCTTATTAAATCAGGAAGATTTTCTTAAAGTGGGATAACTATAGTACAGTTGAAGGGTGATGAAAAAGATAATTTATGATTTTTTAAAAAAAATCTAATTTAGCTGTATTCGTTCGCTAAATAGTCCTCTTTAAATAGTTATAACAATGACAAAATCTACTTTCGTTTAAAATAAATTTTGTCTAGTTTCCTACAGAGCAATATTTAATTACTTAAATCATATATGTTCTAAGTTCTTGCTTCTGATTTAACAAAAAGTGATTCACTTAAAAAACACAAATCTTAAATATCCTACTATTCTGCTGGAAATTAAGCAAATGTTTATATGAACTTTTTTGTATTTCCTGATGTCTACTATCAACCTTTTAAATATTTCCTTCTACTTACAGGACACCCTGTATATATAACCTAAAGATCTCAATTTTGCAACATCTCAATGCAAAGATCTCAATTTTGCAACATACATTAAAAGGGGCATGACTAAGATCGTCAGCATCAATATTTTTTTTTCTGATTCTTAAAATTTAACAAATCAAAGAGATTAGCAACTTGTACAACAGGAAAATCTTATTTAGATATTCTCTTATGTGCCAATATAAATTATTGTAACTAAATAAAACATTATTTTTTTAGATATGCCCATTTTACTCTGTCTGTTTTTTGTAAGTAGGACATGGAAATAATACTAACCTTAACAAAGTGAAAAAAAATAATGTTAACTATTTAATGCTGAACTTAAATATAACTTATTAAATAAAATAATCACAGGTCCTTAGAAATATAATTTTGTGTTTCAACCATTTGATTTGATTATAAATATCTTGAAAAATACCAACACTTTGCTTTTTAAGTGTTTACTACACAAAATAATTAACAGTTGCAATAAAGGATTCATTATAAATAAAACAATTAAAAAAAAAACTTTTAAAAGTTTGCTATAACACTAGGCATTATTTGAAATAGACACATTTAATTATTGAGTTCTGTTTATTTCATTCCTGACTGTTATTGCCCATTTATTATATTTCAACCTAATGTGGTATTCGTATTATTAGATACTTCTATATAATAATAAAATTGTATGCCAGAATTAAAAATTAAGAAATAAAATATATTTCATTAACATTATTTAAAAAACAACAACATAGGATTAAACTGTTAATGAAAATTCCTCATATATAAATATATTTTCTTTAAAAATTAATAATAAATATTGAAAATAGACAAATTTGATAAAGGTGGAGGAGACTTAGTAACACACTTTACAATGAATTAAGAATCAATAACCACTACCTCATAGCATCAAAAGCTGAAAATTGGATCAAATGAACTAGAAGAAAATCAATCATATTTCTAAAATAGTTCAATGAATTATGAAAAAAAAAAACAATAATAATAATTAAATATAAACACATTATATTACATATTTATAATCAATGACAATTTTTGATTACATTAGGATTGGTTTTATGATCAGTAGATGAATAAGTTAAAAAAAGAAGAAGGGTGGGGAAAAGTTTAAATTTGAATTCACATAACCACAAACAAAAGTCATTTTAATAACTGAAAAAGAAAAGTAAATGTTACCTTTGGTTAGATAGATGTTCATATTAATCTACTGATTATGCATTAATAACTAAACTATAATCAAGGATAGGCAATAAATCACTGCATTAATTATTAATGCAGTGGTTTATTACATAATTTTATTTCTACAGAAATAAAGTTCCAGTATAAAAATATATTCTAACAATAAATTTCTAATTTAATTTTTTTTAAAACTTTATATTTCATATAACCAAGCCAAATAACAGTGAATTTTAAAAATTAATTTACAATAAATAATAATTTTCAACAATAATGATTATAACAAGATATTTAAAGTTCCCTATTCTTTTTTATAATGTTTTTACTTTAATTTAATGCAGAGATTTAATTTAAGTGATTTAATCATTATTTTTCACATGTTAATTAATAGTGCATTATTTTAATTTTATATCTATAAATATGTATATTTGTTTCTATAACATCACCGCAATTAGATGGCACCCCAAGAGTGAAGTCATTACAAGTTGATTAATAAGCCATTATAATAACTATGTCATTCTTAGAAATGGAACTAACATTTTGCTTTTTTCCTAAGCCTCCATAATTACTTAAAAAATATTTACTATTATTTACATAACTTAGAAGATTAAGATATCATCTTTCAATACATGTATATATTTGTGAATATTTTATAAGTAATATTGGAAGTTTAGGGAAAAAACAGAATGTGGGTTCAACTAAGTCCAGCATGAATTCACCCTCGGTCTGCCAACTAATTGTAGTCAAACTATAGTAAAATATGTTTTGTTTTAAGTGTCTTAATTTTTAAATCGTTACTCCTATTAATCAAGGTTTTACTGGAATTCATTATCCAAGTTTGACTACTTTTGAGATTAGTGGTAAGTTTAGTATAAATTTTTAGCTATAAATTAAAGTTTAAACAGCTAATATAAAAATTAATTACAATAGGAGCAACCAGTCAAAAAGAGAAGTACTAAATTACTATTGGTGGATCAATTTTAAGGATACATCTTTAATTGTCACTAAAGATGTGTTTTTCTGGTGAAATGGCAATACGAGGAGACTCAATGAATCAGGAAGACTAAAATCCTGCTAGAAAGTCAGAATAATCTTAGACTTTCAGTTAAAGGAAGAATAAATGAATTCCTGGGTATTTAATGGAGCACTATTGACGCGATCTGATAAGCCTTTAATTTTTCAGTCTTTAAAAGCTTTTTCTTTATTAAAAAACATCCAAGAAATTAAGATTGATGTTGGATTTATAATATAGCTTATCTTTTATTAAGAAATTATTTATTGCTTAATGTTTTATAGTTTTTTACTTATAATTTAACACTTTCAAACCTACAGTAATGGTAAGAAAAATAACAATTTTTCATAAATTTAATGATATAAAAATATAATTATCTACAAGTAAATATAGACTATTCATAGGGAAGTATCAGGCGACTCAACAACATATTCATGTATGTATTTCAATACCAATATATATATATATATATATATATCCATGCTTTAAACTTAAAAAAAAAAAACTTAAAAATTGACCATGAAAGTGGTGAAATAAGGATGTGAAGAAGTATCTATCCTCCACTATCAACAGTACTTCAACCCTGCTGGGACATTTATTTCATCCATAGACTTGAATCATTGGCAATTGAATGTCACGAATTAATCTCCACAGCCTATCTATTTGCTTGTAAACAGTAAATTTATTAATAAGTAAATGCAATGAATAAATTTATCAGTTGAGAAAGAGATCTTTAGAATAATACATTGGAATTCATCACAACTTACACTCCTCATAAATTAAAAAACATTTAAAAAAAATAATAAATTCAATTCAAATTTAAAATTTATAACTTTAAAAGTTTTAATCATCATATCAGAATGGAAGACTTGTTAAATATTAAAAGTGGAATTTCTTTATTGCAATTCTTTAGGAACTTCCTCGAATAAGCAAATTGTAGAACAATTTATATCTATTTACAAGTCACTAATTAAGTGAAAGATAAAAAATAAATGTATCTCTATATTATTGCTTATCTTCAATAATCAGATTATGATATAGGAATGTCAAGTTTCTGCTAGGTCGAGAGGATTTGAAAACTGTGAACTAGAATTGCAGCTAGGCATGATACTCCTATGTTCTCTTTGAAACGGAGCAGAAATCTAAAAGAAAAACATAATAAAAATATCAACATTAATTATTGACCTTGCTAAGAATTTATTTATTAATTTTTTTTTGTTATGAGATGCTCAGAAAAACAGTTTACAAACTTGGTTTTAAAAATTAATGCTCTAATAAATATTTACTAAAGTAATATTAACTAATCATAATAAAATTACAATTAATTTATTATTTAATATCAAGTTAATGTTGTAAATCTGAACTCTTTAAATCATTAGATTTTATTTTGGCCCGCTAGTATGTCAACATATCTTACTTCATATTTTAAAATGGAAAAGCCATTAAAGATAGGGCTATAGCACAAACACAGGGAGTAGGAGATTCCTGTGATAAAAAAAGATTAGCATCTGAGTGAAATCATGTTAATTGATAAGAATTGTATCACTTTTTAAACCATCAATCAACCTTGTTAAGACAATAATCCATTACTAATGTTAGTAAAGATTAGTATTCAACCTAAGGTGGCACTTGAACCGTAATCAAACATTTTTTTACTCCAAAAATTAATATTTTGTCATTTTTTTTGTCCTGATATAAAATATAGAAATTATGCCTAAAAGGTTTTGATTCTCAAATAATTCAATGAGGAAAATGGTAAAAATAATCAAATACTTTGTTTGCAATTTTTATTTAACCATAGTGTAAACTGATCAAATTTTTCTTGAATTAAAAAGTTTAGATTTGCTTAAAACATATTGCTCCTGAACCAGACCCAAAAAGGAACTTCATAGGTGAAGGTTTAAAAATAAATTACAAAAGTATTTTAAGTAAAATGAAACTTGTCTATCATTCCACAGCTGCTGCTTAAGGATAGAAATAGAAAATATATTGTAAAAAATATGGGAAAAGTTCTTATTTTTGTATATATGGGTTTAGACATATAAAAATCAAAATTGCTAACACAAGCAATCAAGGGAAAACTTTTTACATCCATAAAAGCCAGATTGTTTTGATCTTTTTTAGTTTTTCTCCTGCATTTGTTTTTTTTTTATGCATCACAGTGGAAAAAGTACTCTTTAACAAATTAAAGAATATTAAATTGTGCATTGAATGAGTACATAAACTTAATAGTTTGGTTAAGTCGTATGGTATAAAATAAAACCTTGGTCAACAAATGTTGATTTTTAATAATAATAATAATTAACAACTTAGCAAACCTGAAGGTTCGAAGTCTCCACGTCTTCGCTTAACAGTACCAGATCATCTGCATAGCCCAGCACGGGTGCTGTCCCACCCAGATCCAACCCTTTTTTCAGTACGCATTATCTCCCTAATGGCATGTTCTAATGCCAAATTGAACAGGGCAGGCGAAAGGGAATCCCCCTGCTTTAAACCTGAATGAACCTCAAACTTTTCAGACAGATTATTACTGATTCTAACTTTATTGAGTGTTTTCATCAAGCACATCCTGACTATTGGGCAGGGTGGCTGAACAGGATAACATGTGTGCACAGCACCGCTGTTGCCCGGCAACCTGATCTATGAGACAATGGAATAGTCACGAGTTAGCGTCCTAGGTGGCGGGGAGTCTTTTAAATCCCTGCCCACATCCCCGGGCCCGGAAAAACCCTATATAGCCTTAAAGGCATGTAAAGGGAGAACCCTAAAAAAAATTTATTAGATTTACTAATTTTTTTGGAATCCCCTGCTCGATTAGAATATTATACAGTTTCTGTATGTAATGTGGGTCACTTACTTCATTTGGAATTAGTAATCTCCCAGTAGCTGAACATTGGTAATGAAGGCCCTCTTTTCCACCTCTCAGCAGCGAAGAACTTTGAGAAACGAGTTGTCAATAGAAACCAAATTTTATAAAGAAAGAAAAAATGCAGATTCAAGTGAAATAACTGACCTTCATTAACAATGTTAGTAGTCAGTGGAATTGAACGTTGATTCTATGAGTTTTTTCTCTGAGAGAACTTATTTCCAAGATGCAGGGCCATTTATAGCAATTTGGTATAAATCAGTATTTGTTGACCATGATTTTTTATTATACCAATTAAACAAATTATTAAGTTTATGTGCTTGTTCGACACACACAGTTAAACAAAAAAAAAATTTTTTATAAATCTAGCTTTTTTGGGTATAAAAAGTTATCCCTCGGTGGCCTGCAATACTAATTTTGTTTTTTACATGTTTGAACTCATATATACAAGTTTTTATTTTTTTATTTATTAATGATATTTACAACTGTTTTAAAGAAATATATCTAGTAAATTTGTGCAAATGGATATGATGATATGAAAACACTTGTTGAGAAACTATCCACTGGTAGCACTCTAATAATACATTAGGAATCTACATTAGGAGATCACGGGGCCATCTTCTTTTCAAACGCCTCGGAGGGTTATCAGGAATTGAAGAGGAAGCAATGTTAGAAATGAGAGGGTTGGGATGGTTCTGAAGTTTATCATGGAAGGATAAGTATCTGGATTGGGCGAAATCTGAAACATAAGGAACATTAAGGACATTATGGATGATTTTATTTGAAACAAAGTAGGGAGCATTGAGAATATACTTGTATACAAGTTAAAAAGTAAAAACGTTTTTCACATTTTTTGCAATAGTTTTCCTGTTTTCATCCTCAAATTACTGGCCTGATATTATTTAGATCAATCACCATTTTTGAAAGCAGGGGCTTTGGAATGGCAGACAAGATTCATTTTACTTATAGAACAACGCATATTTCATAATTTGAAACTTGAGAGACCCTGCACTACAAAATAAATCAGGATATGGTATAAAATAATTTCTAAAAGGACCAATGCTCTTCCTCTATTCTCTGTTCTAGTTATTCTCAATAGCTAATAGATTAAAATTAAGAATTACAAATAGTGGAAAGACATTGGCACTTTTAAGAATTATTTTATAAAGCACTTCACACAAATTCTAAAGTTTTGAACATTGGCAGTTTAATTACCAAATACAGATATAACCCAACATACTTCTGTTTTGTTATGATCCCTTTGTTGTGAATTAGAAACATGTATTATTTACATGAAAGTAATAAGAGACAAATAAATCTATGAAAAATATTTTATTCGAATAACTCAATATGGTGTCAGTATGATCAAGAAGAAGTTAGGAGGAATCCCGCAACCTGACCAGAAGACTTTTCCAGCAAGGGGAAAGCAGTAACAAACTGAGAATTAATTATATTACATTAGATGAGCCACTTGGGACGAAAGCTTCTAAAATCTAAACTGGAAAGGTGAAGTTAGGTCTTTTCAGCTCCTAGATTCACATCAAAAGGCTGAAGTTTTGCTTAGAGGATGCAAATTGGGGTGCAATTATCTTGCGACGAAAACAATATTTTACTGATTCTAAAAATGTTACAAATGAAAGTTTTACATTTAATAGTGCTAACAAGCAGCCTTGAAAATCTTTTAGAGTTTGTGAATAGGCTCCATGAGATGGCAAGCAGCCGAATTTCCAGTTTACTGACAGAGCTGTTGCAGCACGAGTTATAAGACTCTGATTAGTGATAGCCATTTAGTTGAGATCTCAGATGGAGGTCTACCCAAACGGTTATTATTGAAGGAGATGCTAAAACTTAATGACACTGTATACCTCACTCGATTCGGCAAATGATCCACCAGATAGGAAAAACATAGAAACCTATAGACTAAAACCTTCTATTTGGTTGAAGCCGATCGAACAACAGCCCAATCTGATGGAGATGAATTTGTGGTCCTTTCCTAGCAAAGAGCTAGAAACTAAAGAAGTTACCTTTTTTTTTATTTCTTGCAACATTGATGTTACACGTATTCTTCTAGAGTTAAAATTTGGTTTTGGTGGGTAGAATTAAAACCACATTGACAATTCCGCAAGTTTGAAAACGAAACCATCTATGTACAATCAATTACAAGTTAATTAAATAGTGGTATGAAACGAAGCAAAAGAAATGTTGTATTTTACTAAAATTGATTTTTCGGTCAGCAATATTTCCCCTGTCTTACAATTCTTATATCCTCTCTCTTTCGTGCTGTAACACTAATTATAGATACTGTATTCTAAAGAATACAATTATACTGGTTTCGTACTGTCATTAATAGAAACAAGACACTTTTGTCAAAAAACATATAGTAGGATTCTTTTAATACTTAGTTTAGCTGAAAATTACTTTGGATAAATAGAGGCACATTTGCCTCCATTACTTGTCATCTAAAAAAGGCTCTTCATTTGGCCAAAGGACAGTTTAGGTGTTCAGTATTCCGGTGGATGGACAGGCAGTTCTCATATTTAATATGAACCACTTTTTATGACAGTAAATAACTTAAATATAAGACAACTAATTGATTATGATATAAAGGGCAATATAAAAAGAAAGTAGTATTTCTTCACAAGAAAGTAATATTTTTATTTAAATAGTTCTATAAGAGTACATTTTTAATTTCATATAATCTGAGCCATATTCTTTTTAAATTTTCATTTTTTAATCAAGGATTATCATCTAATTAAAAATCATAGTATTATTGATTCTCTTGTCAATACATAGGAAATATTTTATTTCATTTAAAATTTCAATATGGCCAAATTTAATGAAATTCTCTAATAATTGTATTACAATAGTCCATCATTATTTCTACTGGAATGTTATTAAAAAAAAAAAAAAAGAAGGGGAAATTCAATAGTTAAATCATGAAAAATTGAAAACAAAAACTTACCAAAGGCTTTAAAGACAAATGAACTAACAATGTTGATATTTCATGGTCTTCAGAGAAACCATTTTTTAGTGGCACACTTCGATATCCTGTTCTAAGTCCAATTATCTACAACAAATTATACTATTAATTAACATTCACTAGAAATACAACTATTTTAGATTCATTAATGAGATATTTTAATTCAATTTTTTAACATTAGCAATCAAAAGACTAAACAATCAACATTTAAGAAATACTTTAAAGATAAATGCAACGATGAGCACTAATAAACCAAAATGGTAACATAAAGGGCAAGTAGAAAATAAATGATTCATGAATATAAATATATGACATGTCATTTATTGATGTTTATTTATGTTATGTCTGTATTATCGCTGATCCCTATCCATAACTTATCTTTTTTTTGTTATGTTTTTTGTTCCCTACCTCCCATTTCTGGCACATGGGGTTTCGGCAGTAGTAGGTTAATACCTTGAGTATACATACGACCACTACTGCCAATAAAGTACTTTATTATAAATTTTCTCTTATCAAGGTTTTAATTGTGGCGCAGCCCGGTCCATAAATGTGCACCTTATCCATTGCTAGATCGCATGCCAGGCACTCTGCACTCTGCAACCGGCCTAGTCTCATCCACCATCCGCAACTTATCTATATTATTATGACCCTACTAAGTATGATTAATTATACTACTTTACCACCTATACTGATCATCAAAAAATATACTTTTTCCCTCCCCACCTTTGTGTTTGCACCTCCTAGAATTATTTTTATGCAGTACTGTAGTAGTTTATCATAAACCCACTCAAGTTTATCATACAATTCACATTTAACTTTATTTATTTATTTCCACCCTTCCATACCACAATGGCAATTTGGATATATGCATTACTATAATGGTGGGAATCACTGCAATTATAACAGTATACAATATTCATAACTAGCTCTTTTTACTTTTCAATTCTTCAATAAGTCAAGACTGGCTTCCACGGACTTGTTCTCTACTCCTTCTGCAAGAACCTATATTGAAGTGAACTGGACCCACCTCTATCTTCCAGCTACTTACGAATTCTTTGAACCTTGGTGAGGACATAAATTTCTATGGTTCTCATCATCTGGCTCTCTTACTGTTGAAAGCAGTGAAGGCCATAACCAGATCTTTAACGGTCTCTGGATCACCACAAGCGGGACATTAGAGATCTATATCCTACCCGAGGCCATCTAGCTTAGTTCTAAAAGCTCCATGCCCAATGAGGAATTGTGATACCAAATGGTTCAAGAGGATTCATTTTGCTTGTAACAACGACTGAAAAGTGAAGAAATATTTTCTTAAGGTACTCCATATTTAAGTCGTCGCCTAGTTTATTTTATTTCTTTTTTTATTGGATAGAACTCTGGTATTTAAACCGCTTCCTTCTGCTTCTTTCATACCTATGTGTGTGGCCGGACACCGAAGACATTGTAGCATGGGTTATCCCAATTTTTTTTACTACACCTTTTTTTTCAACATATTAAAAATCTTAGGAAATTAAAATTCAAGAAGACAGGACAATAAAACACACACACACACACGTACGTATATATGTAACTTACTGGATATGTTGCTTGACCAATGAAATTTGAATCACCAAATACATCTTCATCCTGTACAGTAAATCTAAGCATGACCAGAGAGGGATTCAAAATATCAAATTCACAAGATTCATTCCAAACTGGGTTCAATCCATTATCAGCTGTAAAATAAAATTTAACAAACTGAACAAAATTATCGTTTCAGTTATTTCTATCATTAATATATTTTGTTGTGTTTTAAAGTTTGAATTTAAAATAAATATAACAGTCCTGAAAAAACATTTTTATTGTTTCATGAGACAGATTTTAGATGCACATTCAAATAAAAAGAGAGTTTAAACCAATAATTGATTTTTGTTTTTACACATAAACTACTAAATCAAATATAGGACAGATAAAATAAATGTTAAATGTAAAACGGTAAGAACACAGATATTATTTAAGCAATGGCAAGTACATTTGTAAGTTCTGGAAGAATCAAAACAAAAAAACACTTTTGATAGAAATAAGATGTTTATGAAATATAAAAGATTATGAAAGAAATAAGACTTACTTGCTGGCCCATGCGAATAATTTGCACAAATCTTATATTTGTATCAGATTTTAATATTATACATTGAGGACTCAGCACAACTTCTATTCAATATATCTATTTAGTAAGATTACTGTTTATAAATATAATCTGCATCCTACTATGACTCCGCCATTGCCTGTCCCAAGTCAGAATAAAAAAAGAGGGAGAGGAGTAACAACCTCGTTAAAAAAAAAACCTGGGTTTAGCTGGCCCCACTGATAGCACTCAGTAAGGGCCCCTTCCTAGGGTTACAGGACAACTCCTCCAGGTTGGGGGTTGAGCGAGGAGCCAGCTGCTCCTCTCTTACAAAACTTCTTGTGCCTGTGAAACATCAAGAAAATTTCGGATTTGAACAGCCTAAACGGTATCAAACCAGCGTTCTCAAGGAATTAAAGTTGGCGACATGGAATGTTCGTACTTTTAATAGATCTGGAGCATTAAAATTGCTCCTGGATGTACTTTCTAAATATAGAAGGACATCACTGCACTACAAGAAATAAGATGGGTAGGCTCTGGAATCATGGAGAAGAAATATCATACCATCTATTATAGTTGCCACTGGAATCACCATGTCATTTCATCCACTGCAAAAACATCTATAGAGCCATGCGGGTTACCCTAGACAACAACACTAGTACCCAAATTGATAATATTCTGGTTAGTCGAAGACAAAAGTCCAGTCTCATGGCAGTGAGAACATTCAGAGGAGTGAATGTAAATTACTACCTGGTCGTATCACGAATTCGAGCCAGAATAAGTAATGTTAATAAAACTAAAGAGACTCAAATGGAAAGGATTAATACTCGGAAACTGCGTGAACTAGAGTGTAAGGAAGAATTAACCCAGAGACTTGATAAGGCTTTGGAAGAGAGCCCTTGTGAAGATAGGGTCAACAGAAGATGGAATCACTGCAAATTCGTATGAAGAAAGCCCACCAAAGATCTGAATGGTTTGACTCGGAGTGCCAGGCTGCAACAGACAGGAAAAACGAAGCTCATAGGGGAATGAGAGAGAGGCACAGAACTCGAGTTAAGGAATATAAACACAGAAATGTAGTCTCATGAGAGGGAGATCTACCACTGATGATCTACAACAAATCTTTGCCTTAAGAAGCCTGCTTGAAAGAACAAGGGAATATAATATCATCACACACCACCTTTTCGTAGATTTTAGCAGTTCATATGATAGTGTCATCAGAGAGAGGTTGTATCAGGCTATGGAAACAATGAATATTCCCCTTGAATTGATCCATCTTACAGAGCTGCTGATGATAGGATCAAGGTGCCAAGTCAGGATACAGAGGCCTGTCAGAGGCATTCATGACCACAAGGGGCCTAAGACAAGGAGATGGCTTATCATATCTGCTCTTTAATCTTGTACTAAAAAAGATGGTAAGGGATTCCGAAGTGCAAAGAAGTGGGACGATTCTCAACAAGTCAGTACAAATTCTAGCCTACGCAGATGACATAGATAACATAGCTAGATCACAGAAGGGCTTAGAAAGGACCTTCTTAGCTATAGAGGCAGCAGGACAGGTAATGGGTCCAAGTATTAACCAAGCTAGGACCAAATATATGACTGCCAACTCACCAAGGCCACCACCACCTACAATTACATTTGGGTTTACAATTACATCACTGCTGAGCCGGAAAAGGGATCTATCTATATACTACATAAAGGGAAATGATACATAAGAAGATATTGAGGGCCAGTTTCGTTAATTTAACCTAAGTTGTTAATTTTGAGCAAAAAAGATATAACTCCTTCAAACCTTACACTTTAATGAATAAAGTTTGAGAAAATGACGATGATGAGAAACAAAAAGACCTTTAATTTTGCTTCTAAAGTTGGATTCGTTATGGGTTAAAATACTTAGATTTATCTTTTTGAAATATATTTTTATTTTAATCTTTATTTATTCCATCATTAAATAACAATCCAATAGCTATATAGAAAAATAAAATAGATTAGGACTTCCATTGAAACAGTTCTTACCTTAATAATTATACTTTTTCTTTTAACATAAATTATTAGAAGTGTTTATATATTAATTAAAGTTGAATTTACATACACACAGTTTTTGTTGTTAATTTGTGGCCAGTATCATATTCAGCTCCAAGAGTTTCAACTTCAACAAAAGGGCTAACTGTTCCTCTACCAGCACGGCTTAAGTGCCTAGCTGCTATAATCCTTAAGCTCACAGCCAAACCTTCGGAGCCAGACAGACAAGTGGGATCATTTGGATCAAAATCAGAACGAAACATTATTTCTGGCCTTAACACATAACCACATCCACCATTAAGACGAAATTTACTCTGGTTCAGCTGCATTGCTTTATCTGTAAAATTTAAAAATGATGGAGATATCTGACACCTAAAAGTTTTATGCGGACTATAACTCAACTTTTAAAATCATTCACATTAAAAGTAAAAATAATGCTTCAATAAAAATAGATTTAACTCTATTTACCAGGTGTTTGAAAATTTAATGCAACCATCTGGCAACCAGTATTCCACAGTGGTATCGGATTGTAATTTGATGAATCTATTCTTTGACCTTTAGGATAAACTCTGCTGAATTGATACTGAAGAAAAACATAATATATTTTAAAAGAGGGTCCATAAAAATTAATAATAAAATAAAATAAAATAAAACATTAATCATCTAATTCTTTGGTTATAACAGTTAATATCCCTTTTCCTTGCAGAATTAGTTTTTCTCAATGTCTATGACATACTGTCTTCAGCAGTTTTCATTTCTTATTTGATTATAGAAAATCAAGACATTCTTTCATTAACCAGGATTTATCATAAGATTGTTTTGCAGATACTTATAAGAGAATAATAAAAATAATGAATAGGGTAATATTTACATTTTTTTAGTACTTGCATTAAATAATTTTAGAAAAACACACATCAAATTATACTAAATTTTAATAGGAGATAATATATATTGATGGCCTAACAAGATGACCTAGTAATAAACTTTTTTTTTCCATATTTATTTAATAGCTCTTTAGCTTAAAAATAGGGAGAAATGTATTTTAAAATTATTAATAGCGCTGGAGTCAGGGCCCAAAAATTGATCTGATCGCAGGCTAAGATTTGATTGTAAATTACGAAAGTGTATGTTATACTAAGTAAAATGAACTTTGTCTGCTATTCCAGAGCTGCTGCTTTCAAAAATGACTGCTGATTTAAAGAATATTTGGCCGATAACTTGATGATGAAAACAGCAAAAATATTGTGAAAAATGAGGAAAAAGTTCAAACCTCCAAGGGTTCAAACACATAAAAATCAAATTTTGTAATGGGAGCAATCAAGGGAAAACTTTTTACTGCCAAACTTTTTGTGATTTTCCACCTAGAACTCTTAAACAGTGCATCAAAGTGGAAAATGTATCTAAACCTAATAAGTTGGTTATTTGGCATGGTAGAAAACCACAGCAAACAAACGCTGATTTTAACTAAATTAGTGAAAAACTGAGACAAATTACTCTAAATGGCCCTGTAGCTTTAAAAAGAGTTCCTTTAGAGGAAAAACTCATTGAATGAAAGACTTTGAGAAACAGGTGTCAAAAGAAACTAATTTGCATGAAGAAATAACCCTGAATAATCCCAATTTGAAGATATAATTGAACTATATTAAAACTGCTGGTACTCATTGGATGCAGAGTTTGATGTTCTACAAGTTTTTCTCTTAGAGAACTTATTTCAAAACTACGGGGCCATTAAAATTAATTTGTTTCAGGTTTTGACGAATTTGGTAAAAATTAGTGTTCGTTGACTGTGGTTTTCTAATATACCATACAACCATTTAATAGGTTTAGGTACTTGTTCGATGCAAAATTTATGTTCTTTAATCTGTTAAAGTATCTATTCTTCACTCCTACCTCTCTGATCGCACCTTTCGAGTTCGCTGTGATACTGAATTTTCCAATTCCTACCCATTTGAAGCCAGTGCTCCTCAAGTTAGTGTCTTAGGCCCTATCCTTTATATCATTTTTACCACTGATATCCCTGTCCATCCCGATACCTTCCTGGCAATGTTTGCTGATGACACTGCCATCCTATCATCCAAATCAGACCCCGAGATCTGCAAAGATACCTTTCCCTGATTGAGCACTGGTGTAATAAATGCTGCATTAAAGTAAACGAATCCAAATGCAAACACATTACCTTCACGCTCTGGCACAGATCCTGTCCACCAGCCCATTTGAATTCCATCCAGCTTCCTTTCAGACACAGTCCGGTAACTTGGGTTTCTCTTTGACCGAAGACTAACATGGAACCCACATACTAGATTTAAAAGACAAGAACTTAACAGACGATACGGCCAATTATACAGACCCATGACTAGAAAATCTCAACTTTCAATTGACAACAAATTACTGATCTATAAGACAATCCTGAAACCTATTTGGACCTACAGACTTGAACTTTGGGGGGACAGCAAAATTTTCTAACATCAAACACATCCAACCCTTTCAGTTGGAAGTCCTCCGAACAATAGTCGATGCTCCGTTCTATGTAACCAACAAAACCCTACATCATGATCTTAATATTTCATTTGTCTTAGACCATATCCCTGAAATTTTTTTCAAATTCCATCAGAACCTTAAAAATCATCCAAATCTCCTTGCACAATCCCTATCTAGTTCCACTCATCCCTACAATCCTTCTCGAAGGTTGAAGTGGCAGTGGTCCAGAGATCTTTTGTAGTATGTATTTTGGAGCTCTGGCAATGGACAGATTCTCCACTCAAGACGTGAGTGTATGTGGTTAAAGCGCTCTCGCTCAATCTCCACTGGCTTTAGTACCAGTGACGCAATTGAGAGAGTAGCGCAGGGATCTCTTGGAGTCCTGCTTTTCCCTCTATAGCTGGAGGGACAAGCCTGGCTTGGGGTTCTCTGCCGATTGTATATGTTGTATATAGGTATGAATGCATTTTTAAGTTTTTAATTTACTTATCTTTAGGTTACTTTATATTTTATTGTACATAGTTTTTGATTATTATTTTACTTTTGTTAATTTTATGTTTTATGTATATATGGTGTGAATGTGTTCATATCTCACTATAATTATTGTCCACCTGACAGTTTATTATATTTCTAAATAAATAAAAAAAAATATATATATTTATTAAAGAGTACATTTTCCGCTTCGATGTGCCATTTAGGAATTATAGATGAAAAACAAAAAACAGCTGTAAAAAGTTTTTCCTTGGGTGCTTACGTTACAAAATTGAGTTTTTACATGTTTGAACCCAAATACAATAGTTAAAAAAATAACAATTTTTCCCACAATATATTTCCGGTTTTGATCCTCAAGTTACTTGCTTAATGTTCTTTAAATCAGCCGACATTTTTTAAAGCAGCGGCTCTGAAATGACAGACAAGGATCATTTTACTTAGAATAACATAAACTCTTGTAATTTATGGGCAATTTACCTTCGCCTGTTATCAGGTTGATTTTTTGGTCTAGACTACAGGGCTATAAGAGAGTTCTTACTTACCAATTTTTCACAGAGCTATTAGATAAGAGCTTTTTAATTAAAGCATGGAAAAAATTCAGCTACAAGTAATCATGAGAGGCCACCACTATTCTAATCTATTTCAATAAACATCAATATCATATCTAAATGCATATATTCATCTCACAAATATATCCTGAATCTCTTGCTCATCAAAACCTTGATAAACCAAAGAGAAGGATAAAACAGAGATACTAGGAGGCAGGGTGGAAAAACATAGGGAACTGCTGTATCATAGGCTAGTGTTGATACCAAAATGGAGAAACTCTTTAAACAAGAGAGTAGAAGGATGACTGCAAAAATCACTTTACCATCGTCATCCCCTTCACAGATCCATTTGCTAGCCCTTATAAAAAGCAGATGCACATTAAAAAAAAAGTGACACCACTTCATAAAACCACACATCAAAACAATCCTGAATGCAATTACCTCCTAGATTAAGACTCTTCTGCAGCAATGAGATGGTAATCTTCCGCGACCAACTTCAGGCCACACTCAAGGATGTCAAAATATTCTAGAAACTGACCAAGAGCGCAATACAAAAGTTTTGGCTGATCTCTTCCACAACTGTGACTGATTTACCTGCCACATCCAACAGGCTGAGCTGCTCACAGATCACCATCAATGACAGAGGAAAATGTGTTTTCAAAAGTAAACAGCTAAAGGCGATACTCATACGAAATCACGAGAACTATCAGGTTCCATTCTGTGTCTTATGGCATTTCATACTGTAAGTTAATAGATCTTGTATACATAATATCAATATCAAAAGAGTCATTTCTAAACAATTGAAGACTAGCTGTATGGCTTTGTGATCAGTGTTCCTGGCATTTATTTTATTAGCAAAGTATGATAGCCAAACATCATTCTAATTGTACATGCCATGTTGTGTACCACTCTGAGCAAGAAATATCATTTTATTCTTTATTCCACTAATGGAGTTTAGGAGTTTTACATTATGTCCAAAAGTGGAATGAGTAAAAGGGAATTTATATTCCAAAAACTTATATATATATATTTTTTACATTTTACATATTTAAAATAATGTATTGGTGTTCTAATAAATTATTTAAAGTTAACATGACAAAAATTCATTAGCATACCTGATGATATTTGATGAAAAATCGAGATTCATTTTGGCAAATAAGTTTCTCAGCTTTAGTTTCGGGAAAAGAAGACATTTCAGGATAAACAAATCCTCTTTGTTTTAACCTATCGATATTGAACGCAACACTCCTACAGTATATAATTAAGTTAGACATCTCCTTAGCAACCCGCCAAGCTCTCTCCATTTCTTTATTTTGACTTTCCTATATCAGAAAATAATATAATTATATTTAATATATATAAATTAAATCTTTTTTCTATTGATAAATAAAATTAAAATAATTACCCTAGCACTTGCACTTTGGGCAGTCTCTTTAATGGCTGACATCCACTCCATAGCTTGCTCTTGAGATGGTATAGCTACTTCGAAAGCAGTGCACATGTTTGGATTCTGAATTCTTAAAATCCAATTAAGGCCTTGTCCAACACCTTGAGCAACTTCAACAACTGCTCCCATTACGTCTAAGCTTCCTTTCTGTAGATTGCCCAACAACATTGAATCTGAAGACTAAAACAAAAAAAATTTTATTAAAACTTAAATAAACTTTTAATTGTTGGAAATAAAAGTGGAATAAGCTAATGATATGATAGATGTATAACATTTTATAACCTAAGAACAAAAATGCTATTAATCCCGATAGTTTTCGACCTATATCGCTTACCTGCTCTACTTCGAAATTAGTGGAAGAGATGGTCAACCTAAGGTTGACAGACACCCTTACAAAAAAGCATCTGATCGCCAAAGAACAATACGGTTTTGTTAGAAATCGTTCAACTTTAGATCAACTGATAAAACTGGAATCAGAAATACAAAAAGCGTTTAAAAAAAAAGAACATCTAATTGCCATTTTCTTTGATATGCAAAAAGCATACGATAGAGTATGGAGACGATATATTGTGAACAAGTTATTGGGGTACCCCAAGGATCAATTTTAAGTGCAACTATTTTTACAATAGCAATAAACGATATAGTAAAGAATGTCCAAAAACCAGCAATTTGTACGTTGTTTGCAGATGACTTCCCAATAATCATCAGAAGCAAATATATAAAATTTATAGAATGGAAAATGAAAAACATCTTAGAATCAATAGAGCAATGGACTAAAACTACAGGTTTCAATTTTTCAACGACCAAAACCAAGTGTGTCCATTTCTGCCGGAAAAGATACTGTTCTGATAATCCATCATTATCACTGAAAGGAGAAATTTTACCTTCCGTGGAATGTGTACGTTTTCTTGAGATGTGGTTGGACGGGCAACTGAGATGGACAGCGCATTTATGTAATTTGAGAACTGATTGCTTAAAACTAATAAATATACTCAGAGCTGTTTCTGGAATGAACTGGGGAGCTGACAGAAAGACACTATTTATCCTGTATCGAACTTTAATAAGAAGTAAAATAGACTATGGAAGTATTGTATATAATTCAGCCTCTGAGAGAACACTCAAAATACTTGACACCATCCACAACACTGCAATAAGATTATGCACCGGGGCACTTAGATCCTCTCCCGTTGAAAATCTATACGTCGAAAGTGGAGAATCGAGCTTAGCTTTAAGAAGAGACTATCTTACTCTAGTTTATGCCTCATCTATATTTTTTAAACCGGACCACCCTAACCATAGTTTGTTTACCAGCATCAGCACCAACCAAGTATACTACTCAACTAGCATTGCGGAGAGAACCCACAAACTCCTTTTACAATTAAACTTGAGACTGGACAATATAATGACAATAGACGACGCTTTATTCTACCAATGTAATAACTCTTTCATAAAAACAGATACGTCCCTTTCTAGGAAAATACAAACTGACGACGACCAATTTGTCAAAATGAAACACAAATACCTCGGACACACAGCCCTTTATACAGATGAGTCAAAAACAGATAGTGATGTAGGATTTGCAGTAATACTGAAAGACCAGTGTCTCAAATTCAATTTGCCCCAAATAAACAGCGTCTTCATAGGCGAACTATTCGCCATATATCAGGCCTTATTATTACTCACAGAAAAAAACATAAAAAATGCTCTTATAGTTACAGATTCTTTAAGCTCATTAATGGCCATTGCCGAAGGGAAATCCGACAATGCCATTTCCAGAAAAATCAAAAACTGCCTCTGGGAAATGAAGGAGTCGCCGGACAGAGACATCGTCCTCGCATAGGTACCCTAACATTGTGGCATATCTGGAAATGAAGCTGCAGACAGAGCTGCGAACCTCGCGATAAGAAAAACAAATGGAACCACAATGATAAATTTAACGACCACTGCTGACTGGAGATTGGAATGCAAAAAAATGCTAAATTAACGATGGCAATTTAAGTGGAACCAATCTAGAAATAAATTGCAAGAAATTAAAAAAGATATCCAACCATGAACGATCTCTTTCAGAAAGAACAGAAAAGAAGAAATAATTTTAACTCGGCTTAGAATTGGACATGCAGCCTTTACCCATGGCTACCTAATGAGAGGCCTGGAACCACCATTTTGTAAAACATGCAACACATCACTTACACTGAAACATATTATAACAACTTGCAGACTATACTCTGGACACCAGAACAAAACATAATATACTTTCCATATATGTGATATAGAAAACATATCTGACGCACTTTCAGATGACGAAGAAAAGATACAAAATGTATTTGAATTTATAAAAGACATTAAATTTGTCCACCTAATTTGATTTCATCTAACCCTGCTAATGACCCGCTTGGGTAGATGAGGAATATAACAATAAATAAACATTTTATAAAAAAATATTTTATATAATATAAAATAAGTGCGCACTTACTCCACTTTAGTTAACCATTTTATTTTTTTTATTACCATTCATTTTTGGGCTGAATTTCAATATAAAAATATTCTCAAATCTCAATTTTTAAAATATAAGAAATAGTTTTGCTAAATTTTCTACTAAACTGAAATTTGACATAACGTATCATCCTAAATTTTACCAATATCTTTATGGGATTGCCTGTCATTAATCAATTTTGTTAAACCTATTCCCTTGTTTTATTTTTTTTCTTACACTCTTGGACGCTTATTTGTTCTGTTTTTTTTTTTATTTAGTGCGTTGAGTTTATATTCATGATTGTAAAGCTCACTCTGAAACAAAGTTGCTCAAAAATACATTTGATTTTAATTTTACTTTCACTTACCTATCATAGTGGCACTAGATTTAACAAAAATTTACCTCTAATATAATAGGCTAAAAAAAAAATTAGGGTAAAAAACAACTCAAAACCAGAACGTCCAAAAAAACAAACAAAAAAGATGATACTAATCAGAAATCTTGCTACATAAGCCATCATCAGGCTTTGATGGAAGGAGGGGAAGGACAAAAAAATGTTCAAAAACTAAGAGGTTTATCAAAATGATTATGCTATACAAAATTAAAGTACTTCAAAATCTCTTTAAAAATTATTCTAACCATTATTTTGAAAACCTCAGAGATATTTAAGAGATTATATTTACAGAATTTCCACTTCAAGCGAAAATTGCTTCAAATTCTGAAATTGCTGTTATTTATGAATTACTATGGTAGATGATACTATTTTGCAGTTGACTTTGTTTCTGTAATGTTTTTGATCATTCAAATTATAATTAACAGTTTATTTGTTTTAATGATTTTAAAAAGTCATTGGCAAAAGAATAGTATTCTATATCAATTTATTAGGAATTTTGAGGTATTCATATGATGTTTAGATTGACACTGATTTCATATAAATGATAATAAGTGATAGCAGACTTTAAAACCTATAAAAAAGTGTATAAACATCATGATCACATGTAAATTAATTATGAAAATATACTTTTTAATAATAAAAAAATGTAAAAAATTAACTCTTTCAAAAATGTATTACCTAAAGCGGTAATGCACTGGTATTTTTTAAAATAAATGTGCTCCTCTTCCTATTATGGGAATTGGTCCTTAGTATTAAGTGACCAATTAAATGCTCCTAATCCTAATATTTATTTTTTCATCGCAATAACTCAAGCTATAAAAGTGCTAGTAGTGTAGTATGGGCAGTTTACATCACTGAATATACTTACAACCAATGCAAAATAGCCAGTAAATTCCCAACTCTTTCTCTCTCTCACTAAGCTGACAGCACAGTTACAGGAAGTTTTGTTTGTGAAATCTTATTATGCTTAAATTTATCTTTAAGTTAATAAAAGTTCTTAAACTTAATAACTCTATAAACTTAATAACTCCATAAAAATTAATAACCAAACAACATAAAACTTCAAAATAGACTATCTTTCCTCAGCTCATCAAATTAATTAATGGTATATTCTCCACATGAATTAAGTAATAGTAAATATTTTTAAAAACTATATTAAAATAAAATAGATCATATGTTTTGACATCAATCCGACTGTTTTGGAAATGAATATGCAACATTAGTTGAAAAAGTAAAATTTAAAAAGAAAATTGTAATAAAATTAAAACAAATGGAATACAGAATTAAAGAAATTAAAGGAGATAAACTATTCAAACATCTTTCAGATGAAGTACAGTATGAACTGGTAAATATAGTATTAGCAATCATGGATATACCTAGAGGTACATTGATGTTGGAAAGCATGAAAGATATTGAAGTTGAGAACAGTGAAGAATTTAAAGGAAGGTTTTTTAAATTAATAATTTCAACACCATTAAAAAAATACATATCAAGTATAACTTTTTCAGAAGAACAAATATCTCTTCTGCAAAGTAAAAAGAATAAAAAGTTGGCAAACTACCTAAAAACTGAAGGCTATATAATTGGCTTTTATGCTACTCGAGGAGAAGAACAATTGTTTCCACAGGGAGACTTCATAACTGTAGGTATTGACAACCTATGGGAAAGATGCAGGGACTTTAGACGGTGTGGTTTTAAATTTGCTGTCTGGAGAAACTTTATAAGGATAGGAAACAATGTTCCATCATATCATGCAAGTTACTTGAATGCTAAGAACTGTGCTGAATTTGCTGCAATCTGCCAATCGCAAAGTTTGGTACCAATAGTTGGGTTTGAAATAGCAAATGAAGGGTCATACACAATAGAACAAGCCAAAACAACTTTAGAAAATGTTTTATCAATTACATTTAGATCATTTGGAGAAGAGCACGTATTTCTTGAAGGCTTAATTATACAAACTACATTGATAAAGAGTGGGATTGATTCAAACAGAGAAGATTCTCCAAAAGAAATAGCCGAAGCTACATTAGATGCATTTTCTAGAACTATAATAACAGGAACTAAGGGAATACAAATATTAACTGGAAATTTACAGGAAGAAGAAATAAAAGAGAATCTCAATGCTTTATTTAATTCAAGTAACAAAAGAACACCGTGGCTAATAACTTTTGCAGTTGGAAGAAATTTAGAAAACTTAGCACTATCCATGTGGAAAGGAAAACAAGGAAATGCACCAAAAGTAAGAAAGAGTTTGATTGATATGACAAAGAAAATAATGAATGCTTGTGTTGGAAAGTGAGCGAATTATCTAAAATTGAAGACAATACACACCAAAGAAGACAAATCACACAAAAAAGAACAGGATATCCTTCCTATTCATGTATAGTCGTGAGTATCTTCTTATTTATTTTGACATAACCTTGAATTATTTAAAAAAAATTAAGCTTAATACAAATATATAGATTATTTTCTTTAATAAATAAAAATTTTAATGTGAAAAGAAAAAGCTGCTCATTTGTACAACTTTGATAACCTAATGACCATACCCAGGATCAGAGGCAATGATGATCAATCACAATTAGGACATGGGTCTCAGAGAACCCAGTTTAGAATGGTATTGGTTTAATTTCCACTGGGGGACAGTTAATATTTATTTATGGAAGCCTAAAAAAATATTCTTGACACTTCCACTCTAATTAGTACTGAGCAGTAACCTCAAGGAAGTGACAGTGACCCAAGACCAAAAGTTCCAAAATAAATGAAAATTTAATATTTCACAAATAAAAATGTACTTTAAAATTTATTTTCAGAATAGAATAATCATTTAAGAACATTTTAAATGAAAAAAAAATATTGTATGCATATTAAAGGAAAAAACTTCTTTCACATTCAAACAAGCTGGAAGAATGGCAGCTTTTCATTTTGTATCCATTTACACCAACAACTCGACTAAAAAAAATTTTGACTTACCATACCAGGTTTTCTCATTTAATCTGAAAATATACTTCAATTTCTCTGGGGCAGAGACTCTTAAAAGAAGTATGATCTACTAATTTAATAAATGAATTGATATCTTACACTGTCATCTCTTTCTTGCTGAGGCTCAATTTCTTCAACATAATTGGATGGAAACCACTGCTGCCTTTTGCCTCCATAATCACCTTTCCACCAACCTCCATCTTGTTTGCTAACATTAGTAATTATTGCATGTTTGCAAAATGATAATTCATCATCTTGTCTTGCCTGATAATCATACAACGCTTTCACAGTAATCTAAATCAAATTAAAACAAAATGAACATTAGTACAAATTGATAGCAATGAAATCATATAAATATCGTATCTCTTTTAATTTTTAAAATAAAATTGTAACCTAGTGCATACCAAAACTCAACTTAAAAATTAAAAACAATTAAACTTTTGTATAACCATAATCATCATGTTGGTTATGATTATGCTAAAGTGGAAAAGCTTTAAATTTTTAGTTGTTGTGGCTTTCTTCTAAAGTAGTCATATTTTCAACATTACATGAACCATAAATACATGAGTTAAAAGAGTCGATATGTTTGACATATTATTGTATAAATATTTTGTAAAATTCAGGATACAGGTTACTGAGATACCTCCATCATAGTACATTAAAATTAGATTGACCCAAACATCGAAAAACAAAGAAGATGAAATTTATCAGAAATTGTTCATTAACCTCCATATAATAACTGGCAAAGTTCCCAAAGATTCCTGCATCTGTTTTAAAGGTGGAGGGTGGAAGAATGACAAAACTAAAAATTTTTTAAAACATCTCAAAACATATGAGGTTTATCACAAATATTGTTTAATACAATATTAAAGTACTTTAACAACTCTATAAAAATGATCCTGTACATTCTTTTTATGAAGTCAATAAATACATAGATATTTAAGAGATTATATTTATAAAATGTTCACTTAAAGTAAAAATTAATACAAACCACCAAATATCTGTTGTTTATAGTAAGTGATTTCCATTTCGAAGTAGAATTTTTTTAAAAACTTTTTTTATTGTTCTCTTCTTTTCCTTCCGCCATATATCTTTCAGTGTGGAAGAGTCTCAATCCATCAAATCCTTTCTTGCCCATGTTGTGCGAGCTGCATCATTGGCTAAGATTTTTCTCTCTTATTTTTCTGTTTATGGACATATTCATTATACGTAATTCTAGGTCTTCCTTATGGTCTCATGCCTGAAGGTCACAATATCTCAAACACCTTCCATGGATCTCGGTCCTGATTCATCCTACTTATATGACTGAACCACCGCAACTGGTGTTTGTATAAAGTTTTTTTTAATGCAGGGATTCATAAGTATTCCATTATCGTTTCATTCCTTACAAAATCTCCCCACCTTGTTTTACCTGCTACTCTGCACAGGTATTTTATCTCACCTGCGAAAATTCGACTGGTACTTTTATCATTTGCGTCCCAACTATCACTTCTCTACATCAGGGTAGGGAGAAACACGGCTTTAAAAATATGGAGTTTAACTTGGTCAATCACTTCTCGTTTGCCTACAATGGTGTTGCAAATTTGATAATAGACCTCATTTGATCATTTTCATTATGAGTAAAAGTTTCTTTGTTTTGATGATTATAAATAGTAATCAATATCAACTAAGAATTTTGTGATATCGATATAAGTTTGGATCGATATTGAAACCTACCAACTTTTATATTTTAAAAATTCCAATAACTTTCCCTTTTTTTCTTTTTTGTTTTGTCTTCCCCTTCCTCGCCTTATAGGCTGTATAGAGTTTTTCTGGGCCAGAGGTGAAGGCGGAAGATTAATGGCAAAGTTAAGCACCTCTTCCCCCTCCGGAACTATGTAATTAATTTTATTTAATTATCTTTGATCCATGATGCACACGCATTTTTCCACTCGGCCATCCCACCCCCTATTTTTCCTGGACATGAGAAATTCCTGGTTGCTGACAAGACACCCTGTAAGGAGACTGAGATGTCCTCAAATTCAAGTTCATCTCAGGTCGGTGTTCACTCAACCTCCCACTCTTCTAATGGAGGTGACAAGATTTTCCTGCACTGCCACCACATCTGCAGCAATCTCAATCACCCTACCTCTTTTTTTTTTTTCTTCCATCCTCTTCTTCCTCGCCTAATGAGTTAAAAGTTCTCCGCGAAACCGGATACGAACTTGTAATTATTTTTAACAAATTATTTTATAACAGATTGCTGGACAATGCGGATATGCACAAGCGTTACTCCCCTCCACAACCTCGCCCACTTATTAAGGACCTGAGAATAGGAATTGTGCAACACTACTTAGAAATCACTCAAAACGAAGTTGTCTGTGTTCCAAATGAATTTTAATGTCATCAGTTGAAAAATAAAGAAACTAGCAGTGTGATAGTTTTAACTACGGACAATTTTTGAAAGTAATTGATTTGAGAAGGTTCTAAGGAAACTCTCGAAAAGATTTTCCATTGAAACGGGAGTTAGAAAATGGAATAGTCTTTCTTGCTTTCAATCTCTTTCTAGAGAAAGCTATTAGAGACTGTGGTATTCAGACAAATGGGATCCTAATAAACAAAAAATACAGATTCTTGGATAAGCAGATGACCTAGATCTAACTGGAAGGACACTCGACGCAGTAAGAATAGCTTTCAAGGCGCTAGAACATGGAGCAGCATGATTAGGACTCATCATAAATGAAGAAAAGACAAAATATTTGAGCACTCTACCTTAACATGAAAATTATGAGAGATAGGGTGTGAGGAATGTATAGATTCGAAAGGGTACAATCATTCATCTATTCAGGAACAAAAGTGAACTCTCACACTAATACGTAGGAAGAAATATTAAGGCGAATACTACTAGCAAACTGCACATATTTCGCTCTCCAAAAGCTGTTAAAAAGTAATGCATAATGTAGAGAAGCATATGACAGGTCCTTACATATGGGTCAGAATGTTTGTCTTTGACTAAATACCAAGAACAGGTCCACATCAGATTCGAGAGAAATGTGTTGAGAAGAATACACGGTGGTGTCTATGAACAAGGCACATGGATAAGAAGAAATAATGCTGAAGTAAGAACTGTACATGGAGATGTTGTTGAGCGTGATTTCGGTCCACCACCTTCCTGCACAACTGTTGGCTTTATAACATTACTTTCACACATAGTACTGAATCCAAGACCCTTCATGGTTTGAAGGTGGTACAGGTTTTTTTTTTTTTATATGGAGATGTTGATGTATGCACCTTAATAAAGACATCAAGTCTTCATTGGGCGGGCCATGTTGCTAGGATGAGATTCAACATAAAGACTTATCAGAGATTGTATATGGAACAAGAAAAGTAGGACGTCCTAAGTTTCACTGGGAGGATGGAGTGGCTACAGATGGAAGGTCCCTATTTGGTGTCTGGACATGAAAGGTAGTGGCAGAAAACAGAGAGGAATGGCGATCTATAATTGATCAAGTTTTGAACGTCATCTAATAATAATAATTTATATTATTAGTAAAGATCGATTCAATGTGTATAACATATTTTAATCGATTATTCAAAATCAAGTATGTGATATTTCCATAATTTTTAGTAAAACCGTGAAAATCTAATATTTTAGAAGGTAAAACATCTAAAAAATCTGGTGAGCGCAACACACAACTTTTACTTACAGCTCAACTTTGAATAGAAATTATTTTGTGGCCATGTTGGGCTATTATGAAAAATTTTAATTGCATTTTTAACCGAGCTAAATCTAAAAGCTTACAGCTAACAAATCATAACTATCATTAAAATAGAAGTACTATTTATTATATCACTGGTTGATTATGGATTGTATGATCCCTTGATTATGGATAGTAGGACTTAGAGATTGGAAGTACTCGATCACTTTCATGACTTGAGTAATTTTATTAGGAAAAAGTATCAAGTATTTTCTGTACTTGGCCTGACATCGGCGAGTACTGAGAGTACTCACGCAGCGTTAATCATGATTTAGTTAAGTACAGAAAATACTCGCGGTGTTATATAGAATTACAGAAAGTACTCAGCCAAATTCCTACCAAGAGTACTTTTTATTTTTCAACTACTCCGTCATTATTATAAATGTTTTCTTTTATTTCCTTCAATAACAGCGGCCATATTCGACCTGACCAACCCTAACCCCCCATTAATCGATATTAGACTAACCATCATATTTTGGGAGGCCCGTTTAATAAAAATATACTATCGGATTTGAGATAGAGCCCCCGGGCATCGAATTTTCATAACTTTTCCGATTAAATCGATATTAGGGGCAACTATTATGTTTTGGAGGGCGCTTTTTATGAAAATGATATCGAATTTGAAATTGGGCCCCCCGGGCCTCGACTTTTTGTAACATTTCAGATTTCATCGATATTAGAGACAATTAATAGGTTTTGGGGGAATCATATAGGTTTTTTGAGTGTTTTACAGGAAAGCATAAAAACTAATTGTTTCGTTATGATTTATTAGTATAATTTCATAATTTATTGCTCTCTGCTATTTTTCATCGTTGCAGAATGCTTAGGACCTTTTGCACTAACAGTAGTAACATGTATTTAATCGGATTGTTTCCCTCATAAAATCGATGTAACAAAAACTCAATAAGAGAAATAATAGAACCTAAACTTTTTGTTTTTTTCAGAGTTAATGAGACCAATACTTTTCTTTAGTCAGAACAAAACTATTTAAGCTGGAATATAAAAATATATGTAAAAATCACACATAACATAGAATTCAAAAAAATTGACCTTGCATTATTTTTTCACCATTTACTACTTTTTATCTAATTTTGAGCCAAATCGAATGAGCCCTTTCTGAAATATTGGCATATCTAAAATAATATGTTTGCGCGTGCATAAGCAGAAGTGGTGAATGGAATTTGATAAAATTGATATGGGACCGTGTAAGCACCAATCCGCATAACCCCTGAAAATTTCATGAAAATCGGATGATCGGTACTATACGATATGCTCCTCACACCGATTTGACTACAGACAGACACCGAACTAAATTTGATGCTTGATGTCTGAAACGCGAGTGGAAATTTTCGATTCTGAGCACAAAATGTTTTCTCTCGCACGGAAAGCAGTGGATCAGCTGATTGGAAGGTTGTGCTCTGTCTGGTCTCTCAGTATTTGAATATTTTTCAGCGGAATCTGTCTGATTTTTCATTGAATACATTTCACGTGTACATCAGAGCAGTTGATATTGCTGTTTGATATATATTTTTTTCTTTCTTTCTCTCTTTCTTCTCT